TACTGACTAGTATTCCAGTGTTTCTCCCAGGGGCGGACTAACCATTTGGAAACTCGGGCACTGCCCGAAGGCCCCGGGGTCAGTAGGGGGCCCCATGAGATGCCCCTGGTACCTTTTTCATAGGCTTTTTTCCTTGGGCAAGGACACAGGGGCCCCATGATCCCCTATTGCCTGGGGGTCCCATGAGTTGTCAGTCCGCCCCTGGTTTCTCCCCCTCACTCACTCCCAATGTGACTCCAGTGCTGGCAGAGAGGGGCAGGGAAGAGGCAAACAAGGATGCTTTTCAGGGACCTGATATCCTCCTTATCAGCCAATGACATAATTGGTTGTTAGGACACAGAAGGTGACTAGAGGGTTGTAATGGTGCACAATGAATAACTGTAGCTTTGTGTGACTAATAGGCAGGCTTGGATCCACCCACTGGCTTGTATACCATTTTTAGGCAATTTTTAGGCATTTTGCCAAGGCACCCCTGAAAAAACTTGAAGGCACCCCAGGGTGACTGGGCACCCTGGTTGAGAAAAGGCTGAGTTAGTAGTTGCACTGATCAATTCCTTCACACATGTAGTAACTACCATGTCCAGTCCATGGCCAAATGTTGCTGCATCTATATTGTCTAAATACTAAATCACAGAGGCTATTAAAAAATGAAAAAATAATAAGCTTCAAAGCAGTAGTAAGAAGTTCATGGAATGGCCACAGATTCTTCATTATGATTAAAGACTTTGCCAGATATTTTAATTCTTAGTGGATACCTGAGGCACGAAGCGCATAGCAGCCATAGAAATGTTTTTATATGGAGATATTTGATTGGAGGGCAAAGTGAGTCAAGAGTTGGGGATTATATAGAAGTAATTATATCCTTTAACAATGTCACTAGGGATGGGCTTGCTGCTGTACTGAGCAATAGTCATTCCTGGCTACTCGTGTATGTGTGTTTGTGTGGGAAGGAAGTGAACTTGGTCTTGTCCAATATTTACTGATAGTTGCAACTTTATTCAGCAACACATACGGGGGCTACACACAGAAAAACACCTGCAAAACAGTCAATTTTGTAAGTCTCCATGGGCAAGAAGGCCAATCTGTTCATTAGTTCTTGGCATTAGGGTAGCCTAATGTTAGGGTCATGATTTTAAATGGTTTAGTTTAACAACTGGAATTAAACCAGATCTGGTACCAAACATGCAGGGTTGGCTTTTTTTGTTTTCTGGCCTCCCCCACATCCCAAAATGCTTTATCAAAACGTAGTTGTGGAAAGTTAATGTACTAACTTTAGCCATGCTTACACTCAAAGCAGGAGGGTGGTGTCACCATCCCATCCAGTGGGATTTTGAAGAATGCTGAGCAAGTCTCAGGATCTTACGGAATGGATGGTGATATCATCTCCTGCAGTACAGAAGCATACACTCACCGGCCACATTATTAGGTACACCTTGCTAGTATCGGGTTGATCCCTCTTTTGCCTTCAGAACTGCCTTAATTCTTCATGGCATAGATTCAACAAGGTGCTAGAAACATTCCTCAGAGATTTTGGTGCAAATTGACATGAGTTACTTTTGCCTTTCTATCAACTCAGACCGTCTGCCCATTCTCCTCTGACCTCTTACATCAACAAGGCATTTTCATCCACACAACTGCCGCTCATTGGATATTTTATCTTTTTCGGACCATTCTCTGTAAGCCTTAGTGATGGTTGTGTGTGAAAATCCCAGTAAATGAGCAGTTTTTGAAATACTCAGACCAGCCTGTCTGGCACCACAACCATGCCACATTCAAAGTCACTTAAATCCCCTTTTCATTCTGATGCTCGATTTGAATTTCAGCAAGTCGTCTTCACCACGTCTAGATGCCCAACTGCATTGAGTTACTGCCATGTGATTGGCTGATTAGCAATTTATGTTACCAAGCAATTGAACAGGTATACCTAATAAAGTGGCCAGTGAGTGTGATTAAGTATATTTACAAAAATGTTGCTCCTCACAGGCCCTTTTCCCCCATTTCTACAACTCATTTTATGGGGGGGGGGGGGGGGGGCATGAAAAAAGCAGAACTTGAGTGGCAGTGCAAGGTTTGATTTAAATTTCTGATTGATATTTTGCAGGTTAAGGGGAACTTATTTTAGGCTCAGATTTAATAATATAATCAGGTTGAGCGTTAAAGTCACTGACCTAGCCACTTGATTCCTGGGTCCCTTTGGAGATCCCTTGGATCCCAGGTGTTGACTTTGTGTTAGAGCAGTGATTAAGCACCAACTCTGCCAAACTGTGTTAACTTATCAATGTGAGAACTTTAGTGATCAGTAGGAGCATGTGATGGATGAATGACACAAAGAGGAGGCCTAGCAGACGCTGATATCCAGGCCTATGATCCAAGGAGACTCCACAGGAATCAATTTAGAGATTAAAGGAGGAACACGCAGTGGGACCATCAGACAGTCCCCATGTCACTATTGAGTCCTATACTGGCAAAGAGGTGTCAGTGGATAAATCTATAACGCATCACAGGGAACATAGGCATCCAACTCTCCTACAAGTGTCGAATGCTGAAGAATATGATGTAGGCTGTAATGCTTTAACATTGAGGAGATAGGAGACATGGGCCACCAGAAAGGTAAGTACAACAGCTTTTTTATTACAGGAAACTGCTTTGAGTGTTTTTGTGGTGAGACAACAGTGTTGTTTCAACATGTGGTTTTTTTACAGAGGGTAACCTCTGCTACAGATTTTTCTTGATATGCTCAGCTTGAATTGACCAGATTTGTGAGACGTTTATTTTAAAGCCAAACAGATTCTAATACTGATCCTTTAAAATGTGGAATAAAACCTTATGGCAATAAAGAACACCAACCATTGTTATTCGGTACTTAATCCCATATATCATGTTACAGAGTAGCTGCCCTACATGATATATGCAGGCCTTAATACCTAGTACAGAAAAAGCTACAGAATATAATAAACGATACAGAGGGGAACAGTGTCACAAATTTGACCCCAGGAGACGCTGTGTAGCTACGAAACATGATAGGCTCAATGAAAAAAAAAATCCTTAGGTTGCTTTATTAAATTAAAAGCTGAACAGCAAAGTGGGCAGATTAAATATGGAGTAATTATAAGTGTAAGCAACATAGAAACGTGAGATAAAATAAATCGGCAGCTATGAACCATTAAAATTCACTGAAACCACTAATTAGATGAAAACATTAAGGCGAAGGTTATAGAAATGAAATCAAGAGAAGCGGTTTCATTCTTTCTCCTATGAAAATAATTACAGAGCTATTTTCAGCCCCAAAAACATTCAGAAACAAATGCTTTTTTGAAAAATATCAGTTTCATAGCTGGCAATAAAAATCAGATTAAAAAAGGATCCGCAGGAAAAAAAAATTACATCAACTTTGTAAAATGAAAAAAAAAAAAAGTAATGGAAAAATGTTCATAATACCGAGTTGATAATAAAAAAAGACTTTTTGGCATACTTGCATACTATCTGCCAACTGACCTCTCAATGCATCACAGGCGCCTACAACACTAAAATGTACAAAGCAGAAACATTTTTTTTTCTTTGGTATAATTTAAACAGTGAAGCACTGCAACAAAGACACAAAATACCCAACGGATATTTTGAATTGAGAGTTTTTTTATTGGGAAAAAAAATTCTGGTTTTAACAAAAAGGAAGAATTGTTGCAGACTAAACATGCAGGTACACAAACAAAAACTCTATCAAAGAGAGTTGATGAAATGAGTTACAAAAAGATCATAACAAGCAACATGTATGTATATATATATATATATATATATATATATTTTTTTATTTATTTATTTTTTCCATTCCCCACAAATTGCCATTGTCAACAAAGTATTATGAAATAGAGTTCAGGAATGGTTGATATGGCCCCTTTCACACGGGCGGTTCGTATGTCTGTTTACGGATGAAAAACAGACATCCATGTATTTCTATGGACTAGCAAATGTAAACGGATGATCATCTGTTTACATCCGTTAATGTCCGCATCCGTTAACATCCATTTTTTTGAGCAGAAGAAAACCCTATTTTTCTTCCTTTAAAAAAAAATGGAACAGACGAAAAACAGATGTAAATGGACAAAAACAGATGTAAACAGACCAAAAAAACAGATGTAAATGGACAAAAACGGATGTAAACGGAAAAAAAAATGATGTGAACTGATGGAATGTTGATGTGAACTGATCCGTTTTTTCTTGGAAAAAACATGACTGAACTGATGAAAAAAAACAGAACGCCTGTATGAAAGGGGACTAAATTGGCAAGAGAAGATGGAGTGTTTGTCCCTCATAGGATCATCCTGCCTGGTGGAAAGGTATAAAAAAGATATCAATACATTACTAGGTCAGTTTTAAAGTACCGTATTTTCCGGCGTATAAGACTACCCCCTACTTTTCCTGTTAAAATATAGGGTTTGAGCTATACTTGCCGTATAAGACTACCCCTCTTCCAACACACACCAAATAAAAATGAAAAAACACCAGATTTGATTTCAATATGGTATGCTATTTCAGTATGGTATTCCAATGATGGGGTGCTATTCCTCCCACTGACACCAATGATGGGGCACGATTCCTCGCTCTGACACCAATGATGGGGCACTATTCCTCCCACTGACACCAATGATGGGGCACTATTTCATCCACTGACACCAATGATGGGGCACTATTCCTCCCACTGATACCAATGATGGGACACTATTCTTCCCACTGACACCAATGATGGTGCCCCATCATTAGTGTCAGTGTGTGAGGAATAGTGTCCCATCATTAGTGTCAGTGGGATGAATAGTGTCCCATCATTAGTGTCAGTGGGAGGAATAGTGCCCCATCATTGGTGTCAGTGGGAAGAATCATGCCCCATCATTGGTGTCAGTGGGAGGAATAGTGTCCCATCATTAGTGTCAGTGGGAGGAATAGTGCTCCATCATTGGTGTCAGTGGGAGGAATAGCGCCCCATCATTGGTGTCAGTGGGAAGAATCGTGCCCCATCATTGGTGTACGTGGGAGGAATAGTGTCCCATCATTGGTGTCAGTGGGAGGAATAGTGTCCCATCATTGGTGTCAGTGGGAGGAATAGCGCCCCATCATTGGTGTCAGTGGGAGCAATAGCGCCCCATCATTGGTGTCAGTGGGAGGAATAACGCCCCATCATTGGTATCAGTGGCAGGAATTGCGCCCCATCATTGGTATCAGTGGAGGGAATAGTGCCCCATCATTGTTATCAGTGGGGAGAATAGTGCCCCATCATTGGTGTCAGTGGGGGGGGGGGAATAGTGCCCCATCGTTGTTGTCAGTGGGGGGGAGGAATAGTGCCCCATCGTTGTTGTCAGTGGGGAGGAGGAATAGTGCCTCATCGTTGGTGTCAGTGGGGGGAGGAATAGTGCCTAATCGTTCGTGTGAGTGGGGGAGGAATAGTGCCCCATCATTGGTGTCATTGGGGAGGAGGAATAGTGCCCCATCGTTGGTGTCAGTGGGGGAGGAATAGTGCCCCATCGTTGGTGTCAGTGGGGGAGGAACAGTGCCTCATCGTTGGTGTCAGTGGGGGAGGAACAGTGCCCCATTGTTAGTGTCAGTGGGGGAGAGGAATAGTGCCAAGAGTGTCACAGCATGGTGCTGCTGCACACTTACTGGCCGCTCCCTCACTCGATTTTCGCGGGGCCGCTCGGCTCCGCCTCCTCGCCGGTGATTGGTTGCCTGTGGGCCTTTCCAGTGCTGGCACCCAATCACCGGTGAGTGAGGAGGCGGAGCCGAGCGGCCGCACGACCATCGAGCGGCCGAACTGAAAGAAGGAGCAGCCGCACTTCCTGGACCAGATCATCGTGGGACCGGGACCGGAGCCAGGTAAGGTACAGCAGCCCCCTGCCCGCCCTTGTACTTAGTGTCCCTTCCGCCACCGCGCCGCCCCTCTAAAAAGTGCCGCCCTGACACCGGCTCGCCGTATACCGGTGTATAAGACGACCCCCGACTTTTCAGAAGATTTTCATGGGTTAAAAAGTCGTCTAATACGCCGGCAAATATGGTACTAAATGAATTGAGCAAAAATGGTGGAATCCCACATTATGTATACTACAATGTCTGCCTTTGACAGATCAATCCACCCAGAAGTGATATTTCAGATGCAGAAAGAGTCTAGGAACATTGAGCTTGCTTCTACTTGGCAACTCAAGAGTAAGATCTCTCCACTGTAGTTTAGGGCTTTGTCCCTACTCTCATTGGAGCTTCAACACCGCAGATATAAACCTTGCTGGCCAATAGGAATAAGCAGAAGGCAGAGAGTGGTAGGAAAGCTTCAAAACTATCAGTAAATGGCAGAGATTTCTTTGTCAAAATGGCTCACCATTCGTCCATACCAGCATGGGATTAGAGGCTTCTGCAGGAACATCCAGGTCCCAACACTTTATACCTGCAGCGGTTTTTTTCAATGGCCTTAAAATGAAGATTGCAATTACTATACTTAGCATCTGAAGGTCCTAATCTGCCACTGAAAGTGTATTTTGTTTTGCTTTTATTCACCATCTTTTGGCAGTGACTCAGTCCTGACTTTTCACCCCAATGTCAACATGAGTGGGCAAGTGGCATGCTATCTTTGAAGCCCAAAAATGCATATGGCCATTTTAATTCATAGGTACTAGGACATGTGAATTGGTGAGTTTGGTTTATGTAAAATTGTACCTACAGGCATTACAACAATTGTAGTCCAATTCTAATGTTTTTGAGACAGAAATGATGTTTGTGTGTGATCAGACTAATGCAGAATCACACTAAATGTACAGACAGACAATACTGCCCATGCAGCCAGTACATCTCAACGGGAGCCCCTAAGCAGAGGGAGATACATGGGGAGGACATCGGTAGGGGGCAGGTCGTCATCACAAATGCTGAACATCTGTGTCTTTTTGTGGCATAGGTTTGGCATGGGTTTGCTTTGGCATGGGTTTGCTTCCTCATGTCTTAAGTATAGGGGAACAGTGAGCAGCACAGGACTGACATCACCAAATCTCACTCCAAAACTCCTTAACGTTCCATTCATGCTTGTACAACTCCAAAGGTCACGCAACTCTGGATTGTAACTTTGATGCAACTTTAGATGGGTGCAACTTGGATGTGCCTTGTTGTCCCTCTGCAAAGTTGGACCCACTGTTGCATGTAAAACATTTAGGTATGACTTTCATGCAATTTTTGAGGGTTAACATTGAAGTCTGTGGCCCTCACATCACATGAAAGTCAGACCAAAGTAGTGCATGAACTACTTTGAAGTCGTTGCGACTTCAAAGTGTTACTAATCCCAGGACCCTGCATTCACTATATCTGGTCTCCCACAGTACACAGAACATGGAAATGCAATTATTTTAGTAAATATAAACTGCTAAATACCTTTTCTCATCAGCAGTATATAGCAGTCTTGCGACTTCTATCAGTGTCAAGCAGAGCACTCGTTAAAGCTTGAAGGAAGAGTTTTCATTCTACCCTGATTGTCCTATGTGGCTGCAGGACCCCTGACCCTCTGTCTGGACAGCGCTGATTGGCTCTGTGCTGATCACAGCCACTTTATTATGTACACTTGTTCAATTGCTCGGTAACAAGAATTGCTAATCAGAACATCACCTGGCAGCAACTCAGTACTTTTAAGCATCTAGACGTGGTGAAGACAACTTGCTGAAGTTCACACCGAGCATCAGAATGGGGAAGGAGATTTAAGTGACTTTGATTGTGGCATGCTTATTGGTGCCAGATGGGCTGGTCTGAGTATTTCACAAACTGCTGATCTACTGAGATTTTCACACACAACCATCTCTAGGGTTTACAGAGAATGGTCTGAAAAAGAGAAAATAGAGCGGCAATTGTGTGGACAAAAATGCCTTGTTGATGTCAGAGGTCAGAGGAGAATGGGCAGACTGATTCAAGATAATAGAAAGGCAACAGTAACTCATGTCATAATGGAACACAATCTCTGAGGAATGATTCCAACACCTTATTGAATCTATGCCACAAAGAATTAAGGCAGTTCTGAAGGCAAAAGGGGGTCCAACCCTGTGCTAGCAAGGTGTACCTAATAACATGGCAGGTGAGTGTATGTGCAATTTGTTCGACTGACTCTAGAAATCGACTGCAATGGGTTTTTAAGCCTGATGGGACTATAAAAACAAATATAATGTTGCAATGCTACTGTCTTAAATACCCTCCTTTGAAAACAAAAAATGATCATTACTTTTGGGAGAATTACTTATTCACATGAAAAAGCTTCAAGCTGCCACATTTTTCTCTGATGTACAACATGTAATACCCTAACCCCAACAGGGTATTCCATTATGGGAGGAAGAGGAATTGCTTCATGATTTTTATGTTTCTATCCTCCTTTGTATCTTGGCTAGCATGTCTGTATCACTGTCACTATTGGTTTCCATAAAAGTGTGCTGGGCTGTGACTAACAGGAGGAACATGAGAACAAAACACTCAATATACTTATTCACAAGCAGCGGGTTGGGACAGATCTGTGTGTCATGTTTCCACTCTGGATTTCTTTAAAGAATGTAGGCATGAAAAGGAAAAAGTTATGAGACATTACAGGCATGCATTGAGAGCAGTACAAGATCTATAGATCTATATTCAACACGGCAACACAGTCAACACAAGCAACACCCTAACCTGCCCACGCTGCTGTCTTGAAGCAACTTTGATCTCTGAGAAAAATATTTAAAGCAACACAGCCACAAAATTGTTGAAACTATAGATGCTCATTTTTATTTTTACCAAGCTCTCCTACTGTCCCATCTGCTGGAGAAGTCCAACTTCTGGGTATAAGACACATTGCACACTTCCTCTTGCCTTCCGAAATGTATCCAAAAATGGTCTAAGTGCTGTCAGGTGGGGAGGACCATGTCAAGCCCTACTGACTTTCAGAAGGTCTCAGCAGTAAATCATGGAGATGAGTATGTTGGATAGGTAGGAGCATCTTGAGGGGCCTGCTTTACAATGTACGTGTGACATCAATACTATTTTTAGAGTATAGAATTGCTTTAAAGTGAACATGCAGAGAAAGGAAAACTGATTCAATTATATATTTTTCTGCTGCTGCTAGGACTTTGCATATGTAGCATGTAAATGAATAAACCTCCCAGTAATGCTATTACTAGGCTGCAGCTAGAGGGAGCTCAAATGATTTGTAGTGTGATTGCAGGAGACTAACAACCAACAAGCTCACAGTAAACTGGAATGAACAAGTGAGTAATATGTGTTTTCTGTTCTCCTCTTACTACAGGTTAGTCACACTTAGTTTATGATATCTTTGTTCAGTTTTTTGTGTGTTCTGACATTCACATTCTCTTTTTAGTATCATATATGTTAGCAATGGTAACTTTCTAACACAAATGAGTACACTTTTCCATGTGACCTGCAATGCCACTATAAAGAAAGTAATTACACAGGTCTGTGACTAAAAAGCTGTTTGATTATTTACATCTAATTTCCATGTATTTTGGTGTGCTAAAAAAAACACAAAACAAATTTTGAAAAAACTCCTAGATGTCATGATTTGCCACAAAATGCAAAATTGTCTTCAAATTTATAAAAAAAATTTAAATTTTTGGTATTTTTTTTTATATTATGGGTTTTTAACCAAATTTAAAGTCCAAATTACTATTAATTCACATAAGTGCATTTAAGATATAAAATGCCAAAAAAACCTTAAAGGGGTTGTCCGAGTTATGTAAAAAATAAATATAGCACTGTAAATCTGATGGTCAGCAATATATACATAAGCTAAGCAAGTTTTAGGGAAAAAAAATTCTATTTCCTCATTTCCCTAGTTCTCTTCTTGCCCTTTGTTGTTATTTGCAGGTAAACAATCTCTGCCCCTCCCCCCTGCAAAGGGGGTGAATACAAGTGCTGCTCTGAGTGACATGTCTGACTACTGGGATACTCAGCAGCATGCTGTATGTGTAACCCTCAGCCCTGAGTCTGTGCTTCTAATGGTAGAAGGGGTTAATCTTTCCTGAAGAATCCAGTGGGTGGGATACCAAATACCCTTGTTTTCTGTGTCTATGGGACAGTCCAGACCAACAAAATCACTGGACCAAGAAGAGCTGGCAGCCGAGGGTGCTAACAGTCGGTGAAAAAAATGTCCTCCGAGAAACTTTGGTACCTTCCCATAAAGTTCTTCTACCACCTCTTCACATAAAAACTGGGATTGATGAAGCAATTCGTAAAATCACTTCCAAGAGATGGAGAATGCTTCAAATACTTGGTCACCAAGTTTCCAGGCCTGTCGGAGGCAAAGTTGAAGGAAGGCGTGTTCGTCGGACCAGACATTAGAAGGCTTATAGTTGATCAAGAGTTTGTCAATACCATGACGGATCCTCAAAAAGAAGGGTAGATTGCATTTAAAGAAGTCGTACAGAAATTTTTATGCAATAACAAAGATCCTCACTACACAAAGATCGTCGGACGAATGCTGAAAGCATTTCAAGCTTTAGGTTGCCTGATGAG